TATGATACACTATGCAGTGGTGCAAGCACTCATTCCATGGAGAAGAAAGTAGAAAAGAAAAATTAATCCCTACCTCACGCCATACAGAGAATCAATTTCAGATGGTTTAGAGTCTGAAAGGTAAAACATTAAAATGATAAAGCTTTTGGAATACAATATAGAAAAATGTATTCATAACCTGGGATGGGGATATTAAAGATTTTTTCAACTAGATACAAGCACATCCCATAAAGAAAAATATTGATAACATTATCAATTAAAGCTTCTTTTCACAAAAATACACCATATGAAAATTGAAAGCCAAAGAAGTTATACAACTGGCAGAGGATTTGAATCAAGGCTACACATAAAGACACAGATATACAAATCAAGAAAACCCAATGAAAATTAGTGAAATATATAAATAAGCAATTCATATTGGAAATGTGAGTGGCAAATAAACCTATTAAAAGGTGCTCAACCTCATAAGCAAACAAATGTGAATGTGAAACTTAATAAAGTATCATTTCTCAACCCTTAGACCCCTGGGCAACATGAAAATATTTGATAATACCAAGTATTGCCAGGGTGTGAACCAACCAAAACTCTTACAAATCCTAATAAAACTGTAAGCCATGCAAAAAACAATTTAGCATTGACTATATTATATCCTAAAGCATAAATCCACTCCTAGGTGATACATATACTAGAAATATTCTTATATACATTCATAAAGAGATATAAACAAACATGTTCCCAACAGCATTACTTATAATAGTAAAAACTGTCATCAGAATGTGAATATGATGAGTTTATACAATTAACTATTATGCCACATTAAAAATCAGTCAACCAGAGTGACATACATGAAGATGAATCATTCTCATTTACATAATGTTGCTATTTTTTTAAAGCAAAAGCAAGTTGCAAATGAATGCATACTGTATTATTTACATGAGGTTTAACTATGCTAAGCAATACAAAAAATATTGTTAGTAGTTAAAAGTGTATAAAATGCACAAATGTTCAAATGTACAAATAAATATAAAATTTAGAAATGAGATTACCTTTTGTGTATAGGGGAAGGGGGTGGACAGAGATAGAGGTATGGGAGAGGAGGCTTCAGTCATATCCATAATGCTTTCTCAGTGGGCATGATGGGTATATCAGTGTTCATTGTATTTTTTCATCTTAAACAGGCAAATTACTGTTTAAAAAATAATTATCCAAATGAATTGAAATCCACAATAAAGAAGACTTTTCTTTAGCTAGAACAGATTGTTAATTTGAGAGGTCAATTTCATAGTAAAAGCCCTCTAAAAAGTTTGTTTGAAGAAAAATCTTAATGACCTACCTCTATTTTCTATTCAGAACCTCCACCAGGCTTTTCAAAAACTAACAACAAAGCATCGCTCTCTACCCTTATGGCACCCCACTCACACTGATTCTGTCTTACTAAGCTCTACTGTCTCTGAGATTTTCGGACCTTCATCTTCATAAATAAAAATTTTGTAATGTTTTCTATGTTCCCAATTACCAGAATCTAATTAAACCCATCCTATTAAGGTATTAACAACTCAAAACTAAAAGTTTTGAGTCTCTATAAGTAGTTTGATTTTAACGAGTAATTGCCAAAGAGAATATCTTTTAAGACAAGGGTAACATTTTAGGCATCCAAAGAGAAATATTAGAAGATATTTGACATCTTTTTGTTTAGTATCATCACATGAGTTTTATTTTCAAATAAGGTTAGCCTTACTTATCCTAAGAACCATTATCATTTCAAAGATTTTAGTAGCGTGTTGTTCAAAGAAGTTGATTAACAGCTTGCAGCATTTTATAGCCTTAATGTCTAACCATTTATAGATGTAATATCAACAGCAAATCTGTTAAAACTGCCTTGATCTAATTTTTTAAATGGTGATCGTTTTTAGTGTTGGACCTCTGCTTGAACAGCATCCAAAGGGTATTTAGCATTCATCTTTCTCCAATTTTTAGAAAGTCATCTGCATTTCCAGAGGGTTGATGACAAGGCAGCTTGTAGTTTAAAGACAGTACCTGCATTTACATTTCAATAGTTCCAAATTCTATGAAACCATTGTAATCTCTTCAATATGTCTCATTGTTTAAATAGTAAAGGTGGCCAGATTTTGTTAGATTCAAAAATCTTACAAATAAAATGGAGCCATTGTATTCAAAGCTTATTCTAAAAAGAATACCTTCTCCTACTTTTTAGTGCTGTAATCATGTTTGTTAAAACCCATAGCCATTAGGTGAACATCTGAAAATATTTAAAATATTTTATCCATTTGATCTTTATGGTCCCAAATCAAGATTCTGGCACAAAATAAAGGGGAAAGGAAGACACGTAATTTGAAATGTGTTATATCAGCACCATCAGTTTTTAATTTGGGATTCCAAAAATTATATTTTTCTCCATTGGAAAGGAATATGTTTGTTTTCACTTAGTAAACTACTGCCACTTATCACACAGAAGGTAACTTCATTGTATGCTACCTGTTTGCAAGGCTCTGCGGTTACTCATAATTGGCTGTGATTTTAAACAGAAGAATTTTTGTCAAATATTTTGATACAAAAGAATGAAGTCGGAAGTGAAAATAAGAAATTTTGGGTTCAAGTGCAGGGCAACTAGATACCCTTATGAGATGAGCCTTTAAGCACTTTCTATAAGTGTGAATTAGATTATCCATCACCCAGATTTAGGAAATGATTAAATGAAAGAATATATGTGAAAGTACTGTGTTGATTGCATTCAAAAGAACTGGAAACCCTTATAGAACTGCTATAATTGTGTAATTGTTGTGCTAGGTTATTTTGTCAATAGATTTTAAATCAGCCCCTAAAATATTTCATGTCATTCTATCCAGCTGAGACACTGAGATGTAGCAAAATGTTTACAAGGACAACATTGTAGGTGAAAAAAATAGAGCACAACAGTGGTCAATTCAAAAAATTCTTTTAACAATTTTATTCCATTTCCTTGCCATTTTTCAGAACCTTTTCTTTTGGTGTTTTGTAATACTATAAAAAATGATCTGGGTTTTCAAAACCTACTCCTCTTCCTTTCTATATGCAGATGATGTGAAGCACTGGCAAGGTGTCCTTAAAAGTCAGCCCACCTCCATGGCACACATAAAGTGGGCAATAATCCCTGTCTATGTCCTCTGCACATTAAATGCCAGTCTCTCAAGTCTCTTTCTAGACGATTTCTAGCAGCCAGGAAAGATGTCTTTTGACCTTGAAGACTTTGGCATTCCAAAGCTAAGAATACAATTAGGTGTGTTTTCTCTTTTGGTAAACTGCAAGCTTACATACACCTCAGAGTGGCATTTGAATGCTGTGTTCAGTCTTGACTGTGTTCGAGATTAGAGAACTAAAGACAAAATTGTTTATCTTGTAATAAAGAAACAAAAACCACATAGCCTATATTCCACAAAAGAATGCAAGCATAATATATCAATTTTTAATTCATCGGATGTGTGTGGAGAATAAAAGTGTAAATATAGGCCGGGCACGGTGGCCCACGCCTGTAATCCCAGCACTTTGGGAAGCTGAGGCAGGTGGATCACCTGAGGTCAGGAGTTCGAGATCAGCCTGGGCAACATGGTGACTCCCCACCCCACTGAAAATACAAAAAAATTAGCCGGATGTGGTGGTGCGCGCCTGTAATCCTAACTACTCGGGAGGCTGAGGCCAGAGAATCGCTTGAACCCGGGAAGTGAAGGTTGCGGTGAGCGAGATTGCACCATTGCACTGGGCAACAAGAGAGAAACTCCGGCTCAAAAAAAAAAAAAAAAATCAGTGTAAATAGTATTAGTTTCATCAGCATATCTTGCTGCTTATGACACTTTAGAGAAGCGTATGAGAAGAAAGTGTGTGTGCCTTTATTTAAGAGAGTATATGAGTGAGTGTGTGTGTGTGTCAGTCAGAGACAGAGAATGTTCATGGCAGGAGGAGGGGCGGTGAATAGATGAAGGGAAGTTGGGAAACCCCTTCTCTTTTTGTGCACTTCCAGGGTAGTCGCCGCAACCCCAGAATGAGGAGACGACTTGAGAGCAAGCACAAGGGTCGCTGCCATAACTGATGAGAAGCGAACTGACGCACAAGCAGAGACTTTTCTCCTTGGCAGTCAACAACCTGCAGCAGGCAAGGCGGGCGGGGGAGGAAACCCCGAGGAGGCGCTCCCGGCCGCCTCTTTGCTGAGATAGCAGGAGCAGCTGCCTGAGGAGCCGCGAGCGCAGCCTCACTGAGCTGGTGCGGGTGCAGGCGCGCGCGTGAGGGCGCGCAGGCCGGGAGCCGCTTCTGCCGCCCAGGCGGCCGCGCTGCAGGACACCGCGCCGCGCCGCGCTGCCGGAGCGCCTGGGGCTGGCCCGCGAGCGGGAGGAGCCCGCGGCCGCGCTCAGCCCGGCGCTGAGATTCGTGCCACCTGCCTCAAACAACAAGGGAGACAAGAGGAACCCTGAGAGCTCGGCTCCTCGTCCGGTTCTCGAGGAGCAGCCTGTGGTGACTGAGCCGGGAGAAGGCTAGCGTTTCTATTCTCCGCCGGACTGGGATTTTTCTTCTCATAATTTGGGGGAGCCCGAGTAGAGGTCAGAGGGGCGAGGACCTCAAAAAGGGGCCGAGGGCTGTGAACATGGTTACCCCCTCCTATCACTGGAAAATCTCCTTGACATTTTTCACACTTTGAAGCAGCTGCAGCTGGTTTCGTCGGAAAAGGGGTTGGGAAAAAAGAGAGGGGGCGGGGAGAGCGGGGAGACACAGCCAAGAGCCACGAGCAGCGCCTCCTCGCCTGCCAATCCTGGCACCTGTGCGCCGAGCCCCTGCACCGAGGAAGACCCCACTCCGGGCGAACACCGGGCTTGAAGCTACGGACACCCAGCCCCTGTGCAGCGGGTTCTCGCCGGCGGGACCTGCAGCCGCCCACTCGGGCCACAGCCACAGCCGCCTGCAGCCGCGGAGCGCTCAGCCCCTCCAAGACGCCCGCTGCGCCCTGGCCCCTGGGGATCCTCGCCCGGCACAGGCGCGGTCACCGGCAGGGGTTGTTACGGAGTTGGGTGCAGGATTCGCCTTTCCTGATCGTCTCTTCTCCGCCCAGGATTTATTGTCTGTGGAGCCTTTGGGGGGTGGGGTGGGAGCTGCGCCTCCGCCACCGCCGCCGCCGCCGCCGCCGCCGCCGCGGTCGCTAGCGCGGCGCGCAGGGCAGGCAGAGGCTGGGGAGTGGACGCGCTCCTGCCTCCCCAGCTGGCGCTTCGGGCTTCCCCTCGGACGCTTCCCGCGGGAACCTCTCCAGCCGTCCACCTGAAGGGCACCGGCATCATGGTCTAACGTGGCACCTTCCGGATTCCCCTCAGTCTCCTGTTCTTCCTACCTTCTACTCCCCTCCTCTCCTCCTTCGAGGACCCTGGCGCCCACTCCACTGCGGACACCTGAACACTTAAGGAATAACCGTTGGCAGCTGCACCGCTACGCTCTCCGGAACCTCATGGGCAGTTTCTCCCGCCGGCGATGTGAGTAGGGCACGCTCGTTCCGCTTCGGAGGGTGCTGCGGGGGCCCAGCCGCGTGCGGCCGCAGCGACTGTAGGCGCGCGAGGTGTGGGACCTCAGAGGCCGGCCGGGGGCGGGGGCTGGCAGGGCGGGAGGCTTCGACGCTCGCGGGGAGCTGCTCGTGCGGTGGCCTGCGGAGGCGGCGATGATGTGGTAGGTTGCAGAGCATTTGGAAATTGGGTGCTAACTGGGCGGGTGCATGGGAGCACCGAGTAGATTGAGCTGGCAAGAGACCTTAAAGGGTTACATACTGCGAAAAGGAAAGGTAAATGTTGGGCGCTGGTGCTGGGACCATAGGTTCAGCTGAAATTAGGTTTAGCTCCTCGTTATTATCTTGGATATCTCCAGTCAGCTTTTTTTCCCAGAGGTGTCTGAGGGATGAAGCGCGTGTTTGGTCGTGATACACTCATACTCACACTCACACACACTTGTGGCAGGACGCACTTGTCTCTTTATCTTGGAAGGTGTTGTGTCAATGTCTTGTTGTCTGTTTGAAAAAAATAGAATTAGAAGATTTTTTTAAATCATTGGATTGAAGGGGAAGGGTGGGGTTTGGGGGGATGGAGGGGACTAAGGAGCATGAAAGACTGGAGGAGGAAAAGAAGTGGGGGAGCGCGTTCCCTGGGAGTCAGGAAGAACCTTGCCTCCCTCCCCATCAGCTAGACAACTCCTGCCCACACATCTCCTTTGTGTGGCACGAGAAGCTGGTGAACCTGCCTATTCCCAATCCAGCCCTGGATCCCCTTGAGGATCTTGCGTCCTCCTCTCCGAGTTATTAAGGATGCAGGACGTGTTTTGGATCCTACGTGGAAGGAGGGAGGGAAGCACATTAGCATTAAGGTAATTCTGGCACCCCGGCTCTCGGCGGGCTATTAGATTGGCTACCGGTGGTCTTTAGTCTTACTGTTTGCAGTCAAGAATGGGGGCGGGGGTTGGGGGACTGTACAGATTGCCTTTTAAAATAGTGTGACTTCATAATAACGGAGATGGCTGCAAGATTGCTTCCTTACACTACTTCTCGGCCATCAGGGCTGAATAAAGGACCCGCCTCCGCCCTCTCCTCCCACTCTTCCCTGTCTGTCTCTTCCCCATCAAGTCACAAAGCTAGCGGGTTGGGCGAGAGGGTGCAGCGCGAGGCAGGAAAAAGAAGAGGTCACTTTCCCAACTCCCGGGAATCAGCTTCAGAAAGGAACCATCTGCAACTCCCACGTTCCTTTCGAAGTTCTCCTTCAAAGGAAATTATTTAAAAAAAAAAAAAAAGCGATGGGGGTGGGGACCAGTAAGACACAGGGGTCCTCTACCTGCTCTTTTTGATTACTTTTCCAATACTCTTTCAACATATCGAATTTACCTGCAGTGGTAACCGGGTCAGCAGGTAAATAAATTTGTATCTGTATATGTCGAAATGTGGCTCTCCTGATGGATGAAAAGCAATTTTATGTGAGCATATTCTAACCTGAGCGAAATTTCTAAGCACAATAGAGATTTTTATAGCGTGGGCGAGAAGAGTGCATTCCAGCGAAAGCAGGACACGTGATCCCTCCAACGGGAGAGATACAGTATTAGGAACTCGATTTTCTTTGTTCCAGCCTGAGCCTATGCGATGCTCAGCATCCCGATTGCTTAAGTCCTCCTGTAAAAGGGGAAAAAATAATAAAGTTGATCGGAGGCGAAATAGAGGGAAAATAAGCACAGGTAGATATGCGTGAACGGTTTGAAAGCTTCGCCTCTGCCTTTTTTTTAACTGCCCACACTTCACCCCCACCCCTTGCTCCAGCCAACCCCCTATATTGAAATGAGGCATTTCTTCTGGGAGATTCGGTGGAAAAGTTCTCCAGCCCCTGCACACGTGGGTTCCCCAGCACTTCAGAACCTGCTGTGATTCGCAACAGATTACACCACCTCCCCAGTCCAAGTGTCACGCCTCCATCCAGGTTTCCTTGAGTTGGCTTCCTGGACTCTAAGGGAACTACCACGATATATATATATATTTATATTTATAAAAGACAGTAAAGCAGTGACGTCTTTGCATTTTAGAAATCATTGATTGCACAGGGGGAAAAAAATGGGAAAGTAGGGATGTAGGAATGATTTTATTTTTCCTTAAGAGTCAAAGGACTAAAATATACTGGAAGTGTGTTTGGTGATTACGTTTGAACTCCTGAGGTGTCTCAGGCCTGTGAAAAATGTCCTGAGGTCAGAATATTTATTGATTTAGTAGAGATATGACTTGTTTACAACCCAACATTTAGAGTTACCTGACTTGGAGATTTCTTATTTCATTTTCACTGAATGTTTTATAATCCATCTTACTAGGCTAAAGTTTTAAAAAGGTGGATTATTTATATTTATGCTGCATTGCATCATACCAATATGTAATAATAAGGAAAACAGTCAATTTTCATAAATATTATGAGGTGAGAATTCTTTATACATTTTTAAGAAAAAAAAATTGACTATCCAAGAAAAAATGTGTACTTACCATGGTAACACTTTCTTCATCACTTGTGACTGCACATATGTGGCTTCAGAATTAGAAACAACTTCATAAAGAAGCCTGGTCCAATTGCAGGAGCCATGTTTTATTCAGAATTTTAGTGCAGCTTTGGGCTGACATTATCATTTTCTCAATTAAATTCTTATTCCACTTTGTTTTATAAGCTTTTAATTTTTCTAGTTCTTTTATAAAATACTGAACATAAGCTTAAAGTGTTTTTGTGTGTCTGCATTTTTGTTTGCTTTGGATTTCAGTAATTTATGAAGATATAAATTAACATGTATTTTATTGCATATGAAAGTAATAAACTATATTATCTACATGATGTTCATTCCATGAGGTGCTTCCAGATCTCTCATATCAGTACATAGTACATGATGAAATACTTGATATAAAAACCTGGTCTTCTTAATCACAACTTTAAAATATTCATTTTTTAGAACAGGTAAAATATTGATATTGGCTTTTAATTGATGTATCAAAATTACACCTATACATACTAAAATTTTATTTTCTGAATGAATATAGCCCCCCTATAAGAAGGACTCACACATTCCATGATATTATAACTTCATTTCTTACCTAGTTAAACAGACTACACAAAGAATAACCAATTGTTGATAAATTTTCCTCTTAATTATTTATGGATTCTTTTTGTTTGCATAAATTATTTCATAGTTTTTTTGAAAAAAAAATTTATTTCAAACATATATGCTGTTGAACAAAACAGTTATCATAGCCGCACTATCATCGAAAGACATTATTTGATGTATTTTGTGTCTCTAGAAACAAGGCTGCTTTGCAGAGTATCATCCACATTCTTTTTTGGAACCATGTAAATTTGCAGATGACTTTGGGGGAATGTTAATTCAAATCTGTGACATAGAACAGACTTTTTGTTTATGACAGGCTGACTTACCATTAAGAAATTTCTATTGCCAAGGAACAATATCATTGGAGATGACTCTAGGCTCTTTGGAGAACCTTGAAGTTTTCACTCTGAATTTCTTTAGTTTAGTAGTCGACATCCATCTTCAATAGAGACGCTTCAGTGTTACAACATTAAAAATATATAATTTTAATAAAAAGATAGCAATTTGAACCTATGATGTAGCAAATTATATTCTGAGGAAACAAAAAGCAAAAAGGAGATTCATAGACAGGCTTTACATATGTTTTAAAAAACTGATTTGTGAATTGTCAATAAAAACTCAAAATGAAAAGTGGCACTATAAATCAACAATGTTTGGATGACGGTTGACACAAATGAATAGTATATTTTCTTTATGTGGCTTTTAACCATGTTATTTATGTGACTCAGGTTTGACTCATTAGAAATAATTGTATATTTATAGAAACGACTGTAGAGTATTACCCTGAGATAGTGAAAGATGAGTAAGAAAAACTTAGGTACATCCAGAACTCATATGTAATCTTAGGTAATAAGCTTCTTTTAACAAGATAAAATAGAGGTGGCAATAATTACTATTTTATAACTGTAGGACATACCAAATATGACAAAGAGGTACATGAAATAAATGTGGTTTGAAAATTTTAGAAGAGTGAAGTATAAACTTTTTTGTACAGATTAGTTTTTCTATAGTAATGGGTGTGTGTATGTGTGTGTGGTTGTGTTTAGTGATAGCATAGTATAATTATGTATTTTATACAATGGTATGATTAAAAGCATACTATTTAAATAAATATATATATTTCCTATCTCAGAATACAGTGAATATGCTCAGAAATCCATGAGCATCACTTGTCATGTTGCTTCCTTGACCATAGTAACTGAACTGTAATCATAATTATAAGTTACCACTTGCTAAACTCCTACCATGAGTCAGGTGCCTTACTTCAAAATAATCCTATAGGAAGCATGATTATCACCATTTCAAAGATTAGAAAACTGATGCTCAAAGACAGCAACTGGCTAATCCATGCCACATGGAAAATGATGGGCTAAGATTTAAGCATAGATTTGGCTTCAAAGATTTCATCTTTCTCCATTGTGTGCTCTCTCCTTCATGATATAAATTGAAGTTCAGTAAATAATTGAAATCTGTAGATTACGGAAGTTGTTCCTGGTGTACAAAGAAAAATTAAGATTTTGAACCAGCTTTTCAAAGCTGCATATTTGGCAATAATACACCATAATGGTTTTTTTTTGCTATTATTTAACATAGGTATAGAAAATACTGTTGCTTATTATCTTGGAATAATTCATTCATGACAGAAATATTTAATAATCTAGTAGAATCTGTCTACAAAAATACATTATGAAAGTTTTCAATAAAGCAAATTTCGAGTCAATAGCTGTCACATCTATTTTGAAACTACGATGATACACTTGATAATTAAGCCTCTGGGGAGGCATCATATATGCTAATTAAATTATTAATAATAGAAACATTATCATTTGTCATTCAAAGACATGGGAAAAACGTTAAATACATTAATAACCCA